ATGTTAAAAAGTCAGTAGTCTTGTCAATGTTTCTCAGGGTATGTAGGATTTGAGATAATGAAATTATCGATCAGGAACTCGACGTAATTTTTTAAACGTTTTCGAAATTAGGGTATCCACGTTTTTCCTTAACTCAGACACATTCATCTGGCCATTTTGTACTCATCCCCGTAATACTCAAGAAAATAATCCCAGTAATCTATTAATTATTCCGTATAACCCGTCTTTCGATGAAAAACGACATATGTTTAAAAGCAGTGGAATTGACATTGCTTTTAGGAATCAGAACACGTTGCGTAATACTTTGGTGAAGCACAATATGGCTAGCGATGCACTTGAGACTTATTTACACTGACTTGTAAGGATTGCCCCAAGGTTTACATAGGCGAGGCCGGTAGCGCTTCTGAGAAAAGAATTAATGAACATAAACGTGATGTTAGATATACCCGCTTAACTGGAAAAGCGTTAAGTTAGTTTATAAACCACCAAATTCGTATGAAAGAAAAATTATAGAAGCTTTATTAATTAGAAAAAAATAATTTGAGTGCTGGTCAATGGGGTTTGGATGACCTTACCTCCTTGTTAGTTAGTAAAGCTTCCCCAGAATCTTCGATCTTGACCTTCCTCCTGAAACCTGATTCAGCTCTTGTTCGTTCTGTCTCTCTACCACTATATATTCTTGTCAAAATTCTCTTCTTGTATCCATTTTGGTTTAGTATTTGTCTGAAGAGGAACTCGTGAAGAGTTCGAAACATAAAGATTTATTTTAATTTCTTACTGTGGCTGTTTTCCAGACACACACACACATGTGTATATGTGTGTATATATATGTATGTATATATATATATATATATATATATATATATATATATATATATATATACATATATATATATATATATATATATATATATATATATATATATATATATATATATATATACATATATATATATATATATATATATATATATATATATATATATATATATATATATATATATATATATATATATATATGTATATATATGAAAAGTACATTGATTTTACGAAACTGCTGTTCATTGACATGAACCTCTTCGGCATAGTCATCACCCAGGAAAATCTTTCCATTTCCTTATGAATTAAAGTGAATAGCATGACTTTGTGGTCTTGATAGAGCTCATGGTATGCCATGAATTTTTTCCTCTGTTGTGTGGGAATTGATGATACAATAGTTATAGAAACATAACTATTTTTATCCTACTTCTTTTATTCTATATCCATGTGGCATAACATATTTTCTAAGTGACTAAGGAATATTCTTTTTTTTCTAATACACATAAATCCTAAAGCAAAATACATCCCATCCCTTCTTCTACTAATCATAACCAAATAATAATCACAAATATATATATAATAACAAGATAGCAGTCTTGCAACATCTTCTATGAGAATATTCATTGTTGTTTTATCACTCTTTAGGTTATCGTCAAACTATTTTCATCAGTTTAAAAGGAAGATGTCCTCTCTCCAACTACATTTATGAGCCACGGAAAGTTCCTTAAATAAAAGGAAAAAATATTTTGTCCCACGTAAGAGCGAACGCAGACTGCAGCGTCTTTTAAAGGGACTTAAAGTAAGATCTTTAGAGCCTTCAGGTAAAGCACTGAAGGCCACTACGATAACATACACACTTGCAGTCACACACATAAAAGTGCAATTGGAAAAGCAAGAGCAAAGAAAATGTAAACAAATAAACAAAAATAGAATTGTTCTAATTCATCGGAACATGAAAAAAAATATATATATAACGAATAAAATGTCCCAAGGATAAAACACCAGATTTCGTAAGACAGAATTCCAGGTACCCACATTTAGAACATTAATTACTACATAATTATATTCTTAAGTTGTTAAATATGCATTAGCAGAAAAAGTAAATATTTAGAGTGCACACTGGGTGAGCGACTAAGCGGACTTTGATGCAGATGGCTGCCTCGCATCAAAGGTTA